CTTGGGAGGCTGAGGCAGGAGACTCGCTTGAGCCCAGGAGTTGGAGGTTGCTGTGAGCGTGATGCCATGGCACTCTACCCATGGGGATAGCTTGAGGCTCCGTCTCAAAAAAAAAAAAAAGATGAGTTGTGAAGTCCAGTATCTGATTGAGAAAGGATAAGAGAATCCTCCTAGACAGAATTCACTGGTAGCAGTTACTTTGTTTCCTTCAGTAGGTAAAGCATAATTTGAGCAGGTAAATCTCAACATGTTCTCCCAGGTTTCTCCCACCAACATGGATATGAAGGATTCCCCAAACCTCAGCCAGCTCACAATTATGCTCAAGGAAGACAAGGAAGGGTACCACCCAGAAGTTTTGGACTGACAAGGTGGGCAACCCAACAACTAACTACATGAAACAATTTCCATATAGTAAAAGGGGTGGTTGGGGTCTTCCTCCCACACCCTCTGCACGTCCTGACATGTCTCCAAATCTCTCTCCTCCATCTCCTATGTCAGCCTCAGATGCCCCTCATCTGCTGTTACTGTGAGACCCCACTCTCTGGCTTCTCCCTGCCCCGCTGCTGGGTCTCCCACCTCAGTAGATCCACGGCTCTTCCTTCTCTCCCAAGGATGCCCTGATCCAGTGAGATGCTAGTAAATGTCAATCACCAATCCCTATGATTAAATTCTCCCACTATGGCTTACTTAATCTAGCAATGGGGCATCGCTGAGCCTGGAGTTAGGAAGAGATGGGCAGTATCACCTCATCATATGGAATTTCCATCAGACAGATGCAGTAGATGCAAATAACCTCAAGAGCATAGGAAAATGAAGACAAATTATTAGGTAGAGATGAGTTTTGAGGATTGCTTGACTTTCCTTGTTAAAATAAGATGGCTTCAAATGGTAACTAAAAATTCTAAGTGGAATTATAGAATTAAGGAAATATAATCCATGTACAAATTTTAATACCTCCAGTTATATACCTAAATTTGGGAGAAGATATTACTGCTTAATTTCTAAATCGTATCAGCTCAGTCTATTATAGGCTATTTATAATTTTTAAACCATTTTAGTACTTGATACTTTCCCATTTACCATTTCATATAATGGTAAATTTCATTCCAAACACTCCTATAATAGGGGTGTCTCATATTTTGAATCTCTTTTTTTTGCATTTTTACAGAAATGTTCATTGTACTCTACATTTATGTAACTTGTATTAATTATCAATTACCTTATGCATGTTTACAAAACTAGTCATTAATAGGACTGGGGGAAAAATTCAATGCTCCTGAATTTCAGTTCAGCAAACACTCCTATATAGAGTGAGCAATACTATACCAATTTTATATATAAGGAGAAAATGTCCTGAAAAAGTTAAGTAAATATCCCTGGATCATGTTACATGTTTCAATAAACGAGTCAGGATTCAAATCCAGATCTTCCTAGAACAAAAGCCTTACATGGTACATTATTCCAAGTCTATTGTCTTTTATATAGAAATCCAATGTCTCAAGTTCCTGATCCCAAAACCTCTTTATAAACCCTCTCACCTGAGTGAAGTCAGAGGCATCTGGACTTACCTGAAAGGCATTGAGCAAGGAGAAGGTGATGTGGAAGGCCAGGGAGCTACTGTCGATGACCGTGGCTATCCCAAACCCCCAGGTCAGTCCCAGCAGCGGTGTGAGGATGGCGATGTTCTTACTGATTCTTACAATAGCTCTCACTTCCTGGAACATGGAACTGCCGATGGCAGCTCGCTGGGTCTTGACGATCACCAGTGTGACTGTGATCAGGTTTACTACCACGATGGCCAGAGCTGGGACAACAAAGGCCAGGAGGGCTTTGGTCATGTCCCAGTTGAGCCAGCAGGCCTCAGGCCGTAAGTAGCCTCTGCCAGGCTCGGTGACAGCAACTGTGATAACAGCAATGACCAAAGGGCATCCGTAACCCACTGAAAAGAGAGATGCCACCAGGACTGACTTGGGCAACGTATGGAAAACAATCAGGATTCCGTAGAGGATAAGCAGTGCCTTGGCGAGCATCCAGAAAAACACAGCAAGGTAAAAGTAATGAACAAAAAACGTGGCTGCCACGCATCCATTGTGGTGTGTCACTGGACCACTGAGAAAGGAAGCCACGATGAACCACACGTCAGCCACCAGCAAGGTGGCGGCAACATTGATAATGCACAGGTGGCGTAAATATGAGATCTCCGTCTTTGTCACTTGGCCCCAAACTATGGCCTCAATGGACAAGCAAAGGATCAAGCTGCAGATAGAAACGCCCAGGCCTACGTACGTAATGTAGATCAGGATTGGGCTCTCCAAGATGTGGGGTGACATAAGAATGGAGAATGAGGTAAACAATTTGCTTGGCCTACATTTGCAAACAGCTTGCTGGGGGTTTTCTTGAATCATTTCACAGGCCTGCTGGTCCCATCTGCTCTCCAAGGAGTGCCAGCCAACACACTGAGTCCTTCTCTCCTCTGATTTGCTGATCTTTTCAAAAATCAATGAGATTCTTTTAAGTTCCTTGGGCAAAATGACAGACAGGACAAGCCCATTCACAGTAACATTTTCCATAAGACTGGCTTCCAGAATGGCCCCAAGGGTAGGAAATGCAATACTGATGACCTGGGAAGGGGAAGGCACCTTCTGAAGCTCATCTCTGCTGACCAGCACCCTCCCGGTGACTTCATTGTTGGTATCATTAACTCTCATTGAAAAAGTGAAATTTTTTCCAGTGTCGTCTCCAGATAGGGTGGTGCCCATGGTGTGAATGAACACGTTGGAAATGTTAATGGAATGTTTATTTATGAATAGCTTTCTTGCAAAGGAATTGACTGAGCTCAGCAGGACACAGCTGCTGTTTCTATCAGGAATGAAGGTCCAGTTTGAGATGCTTTTGCTGTTAAGAATGTGGTTGGCCATGGTGCTGTAACTCTGCCAATGAAGGACCAGAATTAGTACTGAGGCCATTCTCTGAAACTACTAGTACAGTCAAGACGCACTTTTAAAAAGTCAGCAGCTTAGGCATCCCCTGGGATCTCAAGCCTCACCCCTGACTAGATGAATCAGAATCAGCATCCTATCTCCAGTTGCCTACATGTACACTGAAGTTTCAGTTAGAGGACAGCGCGACAAGGGAATGCCTTGCCAGGCCTCCTCCTGTTTATGGCAATGCCACGAAAGTGGGCAGCCTTCCACAAGCTCACATCCATCATCCACTCCATTGCACAGCTGGGCCACACTAGCAATTTTCTTACCCTGGTCAGAGCATCCGTCATGTAATTAACTTCTATTAAATCCCAACTTTGTTGTAGGATCGTGTATAGGAACACGTGATACTAACTTGGAAATTCACCCCAGAGGCTGAATCTGCTTTTTACTACCCTCTTGGCTTTGAAGATCAAAAATAGAAGACATGGATCCCAGCCATTTCCCATTTCTGCGGCAGATATGCATGACTGTTATCTTTGCATTCAATTATTTTCCATTTGAGTAAACAGTTACAACTCACAGATAAAAATAAGAAAAGACTTAGTCCCTGCTGGGTGGGACAAGATATTTTAGCAGCCAAGATATGCATCGGAAAACCATACTCCAACATCCACCACAGTACGAAGGAAGCATTCCCTGGAAATGTCTCTTGATTCACCATGTTTACTTTTTCCATGCATTTATTCATTCTTTCTTCAACAAAGATTTATTGAGCACTTGTTTTTGCTAGGATCGGAAATACTGAGGTGACAGATGTGTTCCCCAGCCCCCCAGAAGTACTCAGAGTACTCCCGCCAACCTGCATCCTCTGCCCATCTACCCAATATTCAAGGCCATTCACCTGCATCTTTGCCTCATCGACATCTGTCAGTAGCGCTGTTGATATGTTGTGTAGGAGTTCCACGATGACAGCGATGTTGCCTGGTATCCGCGGAGACTGCTGAATATTTGTAACGACACAGGACAAATCTCTCGGACACTTCTGCAGCAGCATGTCTGTTATGGTCTCAGGCATTTCGGAATATTCATGTATTCTGATACTTCCTTCCACCGATGGAACCGAGTATGTATTCTCCTAACATGACAATTAAGAAAGACATTTTCATTACGTTATTTTTGTGTGAAATGGAAAAGTACCTTTAGTAAAATGTAGCACAGTCTTATTACACAATTGTATATTGTGTAATATTTTTCTATTTCACACTTTTAAAGTCACATCTGCTGTGAGATACCTTGGCCAATACCAAGGTACACGTGCATGAACCAGAAAATAAAAGTCCCAACTTCCCAACTGCCTATCCCTATGCCCGACCCCCAGAATAGCAACTGCTGTCTTTAGCATGCCAGGTCAGACACCTTTTGTCTGCATGTAAATTTCTAGTGTCATATAAGCTTATTTTCTACTATTCCTGAAGGGCGCAGCATGAGTCGTGAAGCTATCTTAAAAACTGAGATTCTGAGATAGATTTGCATGAATCAACTGAGCACCAAAGATAAAAGAAGGATTGCACAGGGTAACAGACAGTCTCTCCCCCAATTCGGTCTCCAGTTGGCAAACTTGAGGCAGGAGTGGCAAACTGTGGCCCCAGGACGGCTGCCTGGGCTTTTCTGTTTGTTTTTTGGGGCTTTGGAGAGAGACCCTCCTTTCACTGGCCCACTGCCTGTCTTCTACATCTTTTTTGCCACCTCTTCTTTATCCGACTCCCTTCTTTCTCTTTCTTTCGGCTGGTTTGTCAACAAGGTTTCTAAATTTTCTCTAGGCTCCTCTGGATGTTACTCTGACATCCATTTTCCATCGTCCTCTAACACACCAAAACTACTTCTTGAAAAAGCTTAAATTCTCTCCACTTGAAATGTAAATCTGCTTCACTGTTTTTTTCCAAAATTCAGTAAGAATTTGTCCATGTGAGACAGATTAATTTTAGCCTGTTCCATTTACAGAGACGTAGGTTGAATCTAACTGACCTTTTAATGTATTTTGACCTGACTCATGGCTAAAGTTTAAAATGAAAGCTGTAGGATTTTTATTTGTGTCTGTGCTTTTATGCATACACGTGTCTGTCTGTATACTGCCTTCGTGGTACAGACTGGCTTAGAAATATATGAGTACTCATAAATAAGCCCAAATGCTTTTCAAGTTCACATGGCTTAAAAATCTTTTGGTGGATGGGGCCAAGCTAATATTGTTGGTTCTATGGGAATAGCTGTGTCTTTTGAGTTACGAGCAAAATACACATTTACTTTTATTGAACTTTAGAGTTCTTGCTTTTATGCTACTTGCCTGGCACACAGTAATCTAACATTGGTTGACAGACAGTTTAACTTAGCATGTAGCTAGTTTTGTCTAGTGTCTCATATCGTTTTCCAATATAATTCCTAAGAGGGATGGATTGAGTGGGTATGAAGGGGATAAAAGTTTGCAAATAAATCTTTAATAATGGAGGTGTTCTAGAGATCTTTACCTGGGGGAGTCTCAAATCTTTTTGGTAACCATACCCTTTGGGATTTGCTAAACTAGATTAAGTGATGGAAGTTCATTGAATGTCCAGACTATTTCCAGATAGGATGTAACTAACTGGCTGCTTGTGTTTATAAATAAAATTCTAGTGGAATTCAGCCAGCTCATTCATCTAAGTACTGACTACGGCTGCTTCAATGCTACAGCAGCAGAGTTGAATAGTCAAGGCAGAGACCATGTGACCTTAAATATTTACTAACTGGCCCTTTGCAAAAAAATGTTGCTGACCTTGGCTTCAGAGGACCCTTTTCTGGCCCTCATCCAGTCTGCCCTTTCTCAAGGCAAGGATTCCAGGGACCTGTAGGGTATGCCTCCCCAGGCCTGTGTCCCTGCTTCTAAACACCGGAATTCCCTATTCAGTGCCTCCATGCCCCTCCAGGGCTGCAGGAGCTCCTTGCTAATTCTGTCCAGCCCAGAGACCATGCTCACGCCTAGGCCTGAGGAGTGGCCAAGGGGCACCTGTGTTTGGGTTATAGAGGTCTATCCTTGGCTGTCCACTGCCTTTAAGATACAGGATGGAATCTGACACAAGAAGCAGATGGAATATATTTTATTTAGCCATTTATAAGGTTGATTTAAAGCATTTAAATCTTAAAACCTATGATGTGTGGGTCTCCATGTGTATCTTTGCTCGGGCCTCCCCTGGGGCAGGGGTAGATAGCTTTTTGAAGGCTAGTCAGGGCTTTCCCCAGGGAGAATGGGGATGTTCCTAAAACAAAAGAAACGCAAAACATAGACTCCTCTGAAGGAATTTGACGCTGAACTTCAGAAAGGTAAAGCCCCCACTAGAAAAGAAGAAAAAGGAACCAAAAAAGGAGAAATGGGCATGTGAGCTGACTTGATTTATTAGAATTTGATTTTTAATGTAAGTTTACTGAAGTCTTATGCAGAAATATGTTTCTTTGTTTGATGATAAAGTCCTTCCCTTCAGGGAAGGGACCTTGCTTTTCACTCTTTAAAGGGAACAGAAATCACCTGAGGATGTGATAAAATACAGAATCTGATACAGGTCTGGGGCGGGTGCAAATCCCACCTATCTATCAAGTTTGCAGGAATGCTGCTGGCCAGGGAAGGGCCCTAGAGTACCTTGGGTATCAAGGCTTTGGGGAATTGAAGATAGAAAAGTAGAGTCTGGTAATTCCAGGCACCTCTTCCAGCTCTAACCTAAATGGTCAAGTGTCTTCAAAACGTGGCAGGCTTTGGGGGCACTAAGCACAAACTTTTACATGCCCAGAGTTCCAAATGCCATTTTTAATGGGGGGAACAGGTAGGTGCACTCATATTCACATACAAAGGTGCCTACACGCCATCCTGCCTCATGCTCTTCCTCCCCCTTACCAAGGGCAATGCACACCTCTAACTGGAGGCTCCCTTTGCTCAGAATCTGAGTTGCCGGAGGAAGGATCCTACCTCAAAGATGTTGAAGGCATTCAGAGTCCGGCAGGTATCGGTGATCTTGGACCATTTCCTTTTCCTGCATAAAAATCCCATATTCCCCTGAGTGCCTGGAGGGCAAAGTTGAGTGCAGTGGGAATTGTCCTCGCAGACACCATCGCACACACCTGGGAAAACAAGCGACGTCAGTATCAGATAGGAAGGTCTGAGCTTTGGACGGAACTGGGCCAACCACCATGCTGTCATTGCAGTGAAGGCCCATTACTCCTGCAGACTTCAGCTGTCTTTTCTTTGGAAAGTGAAGGAAAATTGCAAAGGATACGTGCTTGACACGTATTTCAGCAGCAAAAATCCTACCGTTTCCAACAAAATCTTATCCTGAACTCCAGTGTATAAAACAGATAAAAGTGGACCTGCCCCAGTGGAAGTGGGAAGAGCCCACAGGTCAGTCCACCAGGTCAGTCCACCGGGTCACTCTCAGACCTCAGGAGACCCCCAAGTACCTCCTGCGGCCCTAGAACCACCCAGATCGGCCCCAGTTTGGAATGCACTGCCTCTGATCTTCTTCAAGAAACCTCCCAACCCCAGAACTCTATAAGGAGTAACATCATTTATCACAGACCCGGGCTAGCCACTGCCCCAGTTTGAGTTGGCTCAGTATAGGATCTATGGCAAAGAACCCTCAGACCAGGATGGAACAGAGGATGGTGGGAAGAGAGAGGAACAGGGCTGGGGTCAGAGGTGCAATTTAGTATGAGGGGAAAAAACCAGATTGTAAATGCAAGCCATTGAGGGGTTCCATCTGCCGTGCATTAGACAGAGGGCTGCAAGTGGCCTTCTGTTGTAACAGATAAGCAGGAAAACGTCCACGTGACTTGGCACTGCTGCCAACATACCATGCGACCAGGTAGACACCTTCTCCTTGCTTTTGCTGGCAGCCTAAAAAGGGAAAAGCAAAACTCATGTCAGAATCAACTGTCAGCACGCCAGCCCGATAGTTTACTTTCATCTCAGATGAACAGTATCTGAATCAGCTATGAACCCCACGTGGCCGCCCAAAGTCGAGTCCATGGAGTTGGGCCACGGTGCTATTCTCCTGTCAGCCCTGACAGCTTCCCCTCCACTGCAATTCAGTTGAGGTTCTTGTCTCTGTCCAGTAAGGATGACCTACTTTCTGTCCAGGAAATACATTGTGAGCACAGGGGAATTCACCAGGAAGTTAATGCAGGTTAGTTCTTCAGAATCCCCTGTTTGTATAAGACCCTTCAAAGTCTTGGGAGAGGAACTAGCAGTGGGTTCACAGGGTCATGTGTTTGATTAAATTTACAAAACTGAAATCTTTTCACCATCTGCCATCTGGTAATGCTATCATGTTTTTGCCATTCCAATTCTGCCTCCTTCACACGCTCCCTCATCTTGGGTATCACCAGAGAGGCTGTATTTATTTATGGAATCTGGACAAAGAAAAGTTGAATTGAGGATACATTTTGTTTGGACTTAATAGGATATATTTATGTCCAGTATATCAAGGAGAATATCAACATATAGGTGGCATTACTTCTAAAAATATTTACAATGAATCACAGAACAAGAAAAGTCTAAGTGCCCCATACCTTGCAGCTCACATAAAAAATAAACCTGATAGGGGCAGTGCCGGTGGCCCCATATAACAAGGGTGGTGGGTTCAAACCCAGCCCTGGCCAAACTACAACAAAAAATAGCCGGGCGCTGTGGTGGGTGCCTGTAGTCCCAGCTACTTGGGAGGTTGAGGCAAGACAATCACCTAAGCCCAGAAGTTGGAGGTTGCTGTGAGCTGTGTGACTCCATGGCACTCCACCAAGAGCAATAAAGAAAGACTGTGTCTAAAAAATAAAAAATAAAAAAAAGAATTTGGGTTGTGTATTGGGCTTTTTAAATATCCTTCTAAGTAGCTATTTCAGTGTCTTGCACATACATGTGTCTGTCTATATGCATCTTAGTGCATATGTACACCCTGACATATATGTGCATGTGTATGTGTATGAGAGAAAGACTTGGTTTTCCTGTTTCTACCCCAGAAGAGTACCCTCTCCTCTAATGGCTGGGAAGAGTGTTGGCCCAATAACTCCAATTTGAGTTCCAAGATCTAAGCTAGCGGGGAGGAAACTGGAAATTCAGTGACCCAGCTGTGTTACTAAACCTTGGGCTTCATGTCAACTTACGGGGTTCTTCTTCTACACATTGTTTCTCTCTATTCTGTCAAGAAACAAGGCTGAATATTCCCTCTGTTCTTTACCAAATAAGAACTTATGGAGAATCTGAATTGATAATTTGGGGTCTCTCCAAAGTCAAGAAGGCCTTACTGAGGATTCATGCAACCCAACATCCTTGAGCTCACAGATGGAAGATGACTTCTTACCTTACAGTCAAGAGAAGTCACTTTTTATTATATAAGTGGAAGATTTAAAATTTTTTCCAGTAAATAAGAAAACTAAAATAATATTTTTTAGAGTTTTAAAAGACTTATGGATCATCTGATCCAACCTCCTTATTTTACCGATAAGGAAACTGAGGCTTTGATAGTGAGGTGACTTGCACAAGGCCAGGCAGGGACTTCCTCTTACAGATGGAGCTATAACTTAGCTTTCCTAACTCCTACAATATTGGTCTTTCTGAAAAGCCAGACCATGTCCAAGTGCAACAAGCAGAAGGAATGTGTGGAAGGATACCCAGGCATCTTAGGATTTTCAGAACCCATCCTGATGGGACCTTGGTCTTCAATCCACAATGATAAATACAGTTAGAAGTCAACAACTCTGGGTGATACTTGGCCTATTAAACAAACAAACTCCAGTGGAGTCACATTTCATTAATCAGGCACGTGGGCAGAAAGCCATGATGTGCTGTTTTGTTGAGAGCAGCTCTGGAAACTCTGCCTTCTTAAGTGAAGGATCTGACTCATTTCTGTCCAGTTCATTTGCCAAAGCACATCACATATAATTCTTCTGCTCCCTTAATTTCTAGGGTGACATTCAATATGGACCACGTTGGCCTCAGAAACCAATAATTCCCAACCTAATACTGTGAAGTAAAAAAAAAAAGATACATGCAAGCTGGCAACTTGCTGAACCTGCTGAGCTGCCTGGGCATGTGGGCAGTTCATGAGGGCAGAACCCAGCGGCCGAGCACCCAGCAACTTGTACAATGAGAAGAAAAGAAGAAAATGCTCCTGGTGGGAGACTCCTAATAATCAAGTAAAACAGCCAACCCCCCATGCTCTACCCACTTTCCACATTCTTTCTATCTTGTAGAAAAGTGTCCACAAGGGACAGGAGGGGAGGGAGGAGAGAGTACCACCATGCTGTGGGGCTGGAAAGCCTCCCCTGAAAGGCCTTTGCAAAGGAGTCAGAAGCCAGGGCCCTGTTTAGTGTTGGGGTGGAGCATAGAGAGGATTTCCATCCAAGGGCAAACTAGAAAATAAAGTAAATTTCATTTGAGAAACTCCTGGAAAGAACTTCCCAAGACATTTTTTTCCTAAGGAGGGTCTTGTTAAGAAAGTACACACTGGGGCAGCGTCTATGGCTCAGTGAGTAGGGCGCTAGCCCCATATACCAAGGTTGGCGGGTTCGAGCCTGGCCCCAGCCAAACTGCAACAAAAAATAGCCTGGTGTTGTGGCGGGCGCCTGTAGTCCCAGCTAATAAGGAGGCTGAGGCAAGAGAATCACCTAAGCCCAGGAGTTGGAGGTTGCTGTGAGCTATGACACCACAGCACTCTATCAAGGGCAACAAAGTGAGACTCTGTCTCAAAAAAAAAAAAAAGAAAGAAAGAAAAAAAGAAAGAAAAAAGAAAGCACACATTAGAATGGAAAGAGCAAGAAGCTGAGAATCTGAAAACAGAGGCTCTGGCTTGGCCCTGTAGAGAGTAGTTTGGCCCTTCAGGTCAGTCACACTCCGGATCCTGAGCTCAGCCTCACCATTTATGAAACAAGGGAATGGGGCTTCGCCAGTGGGTCTCAAAACTCCCTTCCAGATCTGCCAGCAAAATAATAATTCTCTTTTTCAAAGATGTTCAAAGTATTTTGATATTCTCTGTTTCTCAAAAAGTCTCCACACCTTATTTTAAATAAGAGGGAAATTAAAATGATTTATGGTAGGAAGAAAAATATTCCAGAAACAGCCATAAGGCTCACTGTCCCACAAAATTTAAAGGAACATCTTGCTGGAACCTGCGCCCCAGTTAGACCTGGCCTGACCATAGACTACCCGAGCTGCTCACGCTGCTCTAGCCCTGGTGTTCACTATCGGGTTTCTCAAAGGACACGTTATTGCCATTCTGGGTGGGACAATGCTGCGTTGTGCCAGGCCATTCCTAAGTCTTGCCTCCAAATGCCACTAATTCCTCCTGGTCGTTGTGTCAACCCTCACCACCCCCACGTTTTCAAGTGTCCCTCAGGAAATGGCACCGCCCTGGTTATGAGCAACCGACAGGCTTCGCTCTCACAGGGGGAGGAAAGAAGAGTTGATTACCCTTCTGTCTTTCGAGCCTCACCGCATGAGAAATTCTTTTTGTTCCAACTTTTTTTCATGAAAGAAACTCAAAACAAAAACTAATTTGTTAGTTATTGGCTAAAAAGCTGTTTGGTGGGCTGCGGCTGCGATGACTTCTGGCTGGGCCAGTCACTCCGGCCCTGTCCCCTCCCTCCCCACAGTTCTCAGGCTGCTGAGAGCTGCTGCTTCCCTGATGGATTTTCCTACCCATTTGCTCTCCCCGCCAGTTTCCTCTCCATGCTTTCCCCTTCTCTTACCTGGCATAACGTCTTACAGGACTCTGTGGGCAACAGAAACACCAAGCAGTACAGCAAAAGTATATGAGTCATCGTCTTCTGCTCGGCTGACTGTCTCGCTTCTATAAAGATAGATAAAGAGGCAACATGTCTCCACTCTGAAGCTCACACAGTTCCGTGCCACTGCAGACACAGTCAGCCTGCAAGGCCCAGCTCTGTCCCCGTGCTGTCCACTCACACCTCTGCTCCCCTGTGGTCTCCCATGACTCCCTCCACCCGAGGCTGCCTGAGGTGTGAGGAGCAGCCCCTCTGGGAGGCACGGGCAGCTGCTGAGATAGCCCCCAGCGGCCTGCCTGTCACCTCTACCATGGGAATCCCTCCAAAGGAAGCTGCTACTTGCTGGATTTCTTTTTATTTTTTTATTTTGTTTCATTTTTGTCATTAAATCATAAGTGTGTACATTGATGCATTTCTGGGGTTCAGGGTACTGATTTGATGTACAACGTGAACTTACATTGAACTGATTAACACATCCATCACCTCGCTTACTTATTTGTTGTGGTGAGACAATTATTCTCTTTTCTTAACAGTTTTGAAATGTACCATTGCATTACGCACATTAGGTAAGGTCCTTGCCTGCCAGTGTACAATAAATAACAGCCTGTGTTCACAGCATTGGAATGATGGTTCCATCTTTGGGTTAGGCAAGGCTGAGAAACGTGTGGGTGGCTACAGCAGAAGATGACCTGGGGTTTCTGTGGGCAAGTTCCGCCTGGAAATATCTTTTGAAGGGGAGTAAGCACCAGGCTTGGCCTATTAGCTCTCACTTCCTCCTAAATCTGCAGCTATAGGTAGGAAGACATTTCTTCAAAATTGATCTTAGGTACCATCTGCTATTGGTATTTCTACCACAACTAAAATCAAACTAAATTGATCTTGACACCTAAAGCAGGACTCAGATTATAGTGGGCACACTATGTACTCAGTAAAGGGGGAGAAGGAGGAAGGAAAGCAGGGAGTGAAAGATGGGAAGAACTGACAATTTACATAAGGATCTATGCTTTATAGAGGACTCACCTCAGTTAAGAATTCCAATATTAAACATTAATAATTGTTTTTTTGGAGACAAAGTCTCACTATGCACCCTCAGTAGAGTGCTGTGGCATCACAGCTCACAGCAACCTCAAACTCTTGGGCCTAAGCAATTCTCCTCTTGCCTCAGCCTCCCAAGTAGCTGGGACTACAGGTGCTGACCACAACACTCGGTTATTTTTTGGTTGTAGTTGTCATTGTTGTTTGGCAGGCCCAGGCTGGGTTGCAACCCACCAACTCTGGTATATGTGGCTGGTGCCCTAGCCGCAGAGCTATAGGTGCCGAGCCACAAACATTAATAATTTTAATATTTTTCATCCTGGGGAGATAGTCTCTGAAAGGTACTGATGATTTTTTTACTTTCAGATGAAAGGATTCACAAGACTTGCATGTCCATCAACAAAGGCCAGGGACTATGACAATGGGTGCTATTTGACCATTTTTAGCCAAAAAGAAATTTTTAGCCCAATCACATAAAATTCTACAGCAATGTCATTATTTTAAAGACTATGCAAAATTGGTTTTTCAACTAAGTTTCCCAGCATTGAAGTACTTGCCTCGCCGAAATTCCACTGAAAACCAATGATTACTTAAAATGTTTTATACTGTTGGCTGGGTGGCTCACACCTGTAATCCTAGTGCTCTGGGAGGCTGAGGCAGGTGGATTGCTTGAGCTCACAAGTTGAAGACCACCCTGAGTAAGACTGAGACCCTGTCACTACTAAAAATAGAAAAACTAGCTGGGCATAATGGTGGTGCACTTCTGTAGTCCCAGCTACTTGGGAAGCTGAGGCAAGAGGGTCTCTTGAGCCCAAACTTTGAGGTCACCATGATGTGATGACACCATGGTACTCTACTCAGGCTGACAGATTGAGATTCTGTCTCAAAAATAAGAAAAATGTTTCATATTGTCTATTTCAGCCTGTTGTTAATACAGTTTTCTGAACATCTATGGTTTTTATACAAAGGAATTACTTTATTACTCATCACTTTTAAATGTATTTAATAACATCACAGATGGACCCACAATTTTATGTAAAATGGCCAGCCAAATTTGCATCCTTTAATCTAACCTAAGTTATTCAAACAGATAAAAATTCCAGTATGAAAATCATCAAAGTGACCTAATTAAAATCATCACCAATGTTTGTGCTCTCAAATTAACCAGAAATGAAAAAAAAAAAAGCATCACCAATGCAGTTAATGCTTTGGGTAAAAATCATCAAAATTGGAAAAAATTAAAGCCATGGATGAAGTGTTGACACAATAATGCTCATACAACCTGAGAGTCAATGCACAGTGTTCTGAACCAAGTTAACTATATCTCTTAAAATTCTCATCATACAGAATGTTCTTTCTCTTAACTAAAGTTAATTTTAAAAACTGATTTAAGGAATTATACAAGACCAGAAATTTTCATAAAGTTAGCACTACTCAGCCCTGAATCCCAAGTAGATTTACAAAAAATGGGGGGGGGGTGCAGAGAAGTCAAATGATTAGCTTGAATTCTACAAATCAAGATGAAAATCATTCTGTTTGCTTAAAATTTAATGCACTATAATAAAAGTTCTCTGTGTATTATATTGTCACATTGTTTTAAATAGAGTTATTTTAATTTTTACTAAGATTGCTTTTTGGTATGATTATTACTAACATGTGTCTATGTATGACAAAGAATGTCCGTGTGTCTTCTGTGGGAATGACCTCTGTTAGACCTTGCAGGCCTTTTTTGACAGGTATACTGCTACCTACAGCCTAGAAATTTTTAAACATTTTCTTTATTACCCAGATCTACCTTGCTATAGGAGAACTGAGGGCCACACCTCTGAAAGGCTGCCTTTCCCCAGCTCTCAGTAACAATGCGACTCTAATTTTTAGTGCTTATTCCTAGATTTTTTCACAATTATTTCAACTGGAAGAAACATTTCCCAAAGTTTTTTGTTTTTATTTAGTTATACAATTTCTCTTTAAACAAAAGGGGCATGTTTTAATCTGGGCTTGAGTGAAATCACCATCCCTCCATATTGGTTGACAGTAAGCAACAATCATCAGCTTTTTTTTCAGTGCCTTGAAACCGAAAATGCTGTAGAAGCAAAAGGGTACAGTGTCAAAGCAGCGGCCTGTGTCTGATCTTTCAACACAGAGCCTCTGTCCCCATCTTTTAAAACCACAGATGGGCAGTGGCTCTTCCCTGGTCAGCAAGAGTGGCTAGGACCTAACTCTTGCCTTTCAAACAAATGTTTGAGATGTTGGCTTCATGTAGCCTAAGCCAAAGTTTATTATAGACATCTATTTCAGAAGAGACTTGATGCAACCTAAAAAAAAGTCACCTTGTGTAGTTCAAAAAAAGAAAGAGAGAGACAGACAGACAGAGAGAAAGGGAGTGGAGGGGAGAGAAGAGGGGAGAGGAAAGAAAGAAAAGAAAAGAAAAGAAAGATAGAGAGAGAAACAATTACATCAGTACTGAAATTTCCCTAGGTGAAATTTGCCAAATACAAAGTTTTAAAACTTCTTTAAAGAAAAGTTAAGAAACCCCTTCTCCTTTTCCTTATTTTAAAAAATAATAATACAAAACAAGAATAGCTAAGTATATTGACATGATGGCTAAATCTTCCAAGAAACAATATTTCCAACCATCAAACCTAGAATAATATATCCTCGCACTCTGGGAGGCCGAGGCAGGTAGATTGCCCGAGCTTAGGAGTTCAAGACTAGCCTGAGCAAGAGCGAGACACCATCTCTAAAAATAGCCAGAAAGTGTGGCAGGTGCCTATAGTCCCAGCTACTTGGGAGGCTGAGATAAGAGGATCACTTCAGCCTAAGAGTTTGAGGTTGCTATGAGCTATAATGCCATGGCACTCAATCCCAGTGCAATTAGGTGAGACTGTCTAAAAAAAAACAACCTAGAATATACTTGTCCATCGTCTATTTTCTGCTGTCCAGACCTGAAGAAGGTGCTTAGGTTGTTAATTTATGAGTTTATTCAACAAAGAGAAAATGAGCCCTTTATTTCCAAGCAGTGTCCTAGCAGCCAAAAATGGAAGGACGACAGCATGGCTTCCTTTCCTCGGCCACCTCAGCAACTCAGGGAACTCAGAGGGCAATGGGATTCCTGACGCACAGCCTGAGGGGTTGGGAGCTTGGATGGGGCTTGCTTTCTACAGCCAAGAGACCCTAAGAGTCAAAGCTGGTATAATCACATGGCAGCCAGTTTTCCAAAGTTCCAGATTCCACAAAGCCTTCTCGTCTGTGTTAGCAATTTAATTTCAGCATATCTCATCCTCTTTCTACACATAATCCCTGCACCTCAAAGCCATAGAGTTGACTGGCAACAGGCAAAGCTCACTAATGTGAGACAAAACAGGAGGAAAGAGACCACGTGAGCCGCCTGCTGGGACCTGTTGGGTGCATGGCCCCTTCAGAAACAAACACGGGCTCAATTGAAAAACACACACTCATGTGCTGCAGACACACACACACACACACACGCACGCAATGGGCATGAGGAATTTTACAGATATCTATAACCAAAACCTCTATGAATTGAACCCTTATATCCTGATTAAGATAAAAAGAAAGTATTGGACTCACAATCACCAACCACAGTAATCAAAAAGGTAAACAAAACTCCAGACAGAACTTTATCAGTCACGCAGGAGTATTTTAATTACTACTTTTGCCAGCTGACAGTCTGCGGCTATTACTTCCATAATTAGGTTTTGTAATGAATTGCTGAGATTTTGAGATTTCACAAAGTGCTACGGAAGTTCCCAGACAGACCGTGGGTATACACTTCAGATGACCTCAGCGGTGGAAGATTCCACAGCGTCTGTCATTAACCATCTGTTTTCCCTTTAGTCAGAGACCAATCCATCCCTCCTTCCTGAATGCAGACACTGTGGAAGGCAAGAGCAGAGTAAGACAAGCAGTTATTGTCTCTTTGCTCTGTATTGGTAATGATGTCTATGTTACCTTTTTTAATGCCATCAAATAATTCTGTG